TTTTTTTTTTTCTTTCCTTTCCCTCGATCGATCATGGGAATGAAAGAAGCGAAAATGCACGAATAAACGAGATTTGTAGTTCTTGTGCTGGCTCTCATGGGAGATTCTTCAAGTTATCGGGTCAGTTCCTGCCTTTTTTTTCCTCTCTCTCTCTCTCTCGAATAATTCGAAATATATTCGGTGATCTTTGATAATATGTCGAGGCCTCTTTCTCAATTGTGACGAATTTAAAAAAAAAGAAAAAAAAAAAAGATCCTTTACTTCTCTTTGCCACCATTCACCTTCTCTCTCTTTGTCTCTGTTTTCTAATAAGTTTGTACACTCTGGCTGATCCTTGCGGCACGATTGATGCGACTTCCCTCCGCAACTTTGTTCAATTTCTTATCAACCGTCGATAAGCTTGAGTACGATGTTACCAACATGCCAGTTTCCTTCAAGCTTTCGCAACAAACAAAAAGAGACAAGAGTTAATTTTCTTCATGTGTTTCACTATTATTCTTTTTTTCCCCCTTTTTTTTTTAACCAAATTAAAGATAAATTTGATCTTACTAGTGTGTGTGTATGCGTGCGTGTGTGTGTGTATATATCTGTGTCTCTCTCTGTCTCTCTTTCTCTCTATACGTATCTACATAATTCGGTAATGAGAATAAAGAGGGCAGGCGCTTCCTTCGTAAAGCGGGGAATCACCAGACTACGTGTGCTGACCTGTGAGCTGCTTAGAAGTGAAAAAACCGAAAAAAAAAAAAATGAACCGAAAAGTACAATGAACGAATCATTTCGTTGGATGACCGTTGTCTCTCCCTATGGAGCGGAGAAATCGTTGATCAGCAGAGCGCATTGCGTGGTGTAGCGTGCATGTTTAAAATACCAGAGAAACGCATTATCTAAACCGGATATTCGACCAGGTTAAAGAGTCTGACTGTCAGCCTGGTTAGGGGACCTCTCTCCACGGCGCATCGTGTAAGTATTCCCTCAATGTTTTCTGTCAAACAACAAAAAAAAAAAGCAATCAATCAAATATAATCAGATAAAAAAGAAAAAAAGAGAGAATTTTGAAAACAAAAGTGAATCATTAACGCGACACATTTTCCTGCCACCTCCATAAAAATGCAAGAAAGGAAGAAAGTAAAAAAAAAAAGAGAGAGAGATTTATTCTATATATATATTTTTTATATATTCTATATGTGTGTATATATATATATATAGAATACATTCTATGATATATTTACGTTGAGAAGAATACGAGAATAAATAAGACCTGAACACCTCTCGCAGGTGTTTTTGGATGGGGATTGTTCTTTCTCTTGTAAGGGGGTAAATCTTTTGGCTGATTTAAACATAAGCAATGTTCATCGGTTACGTGATACTACGCCAAATGCATGCTACGTTCTTGCAGTCTGCAATTTGTCACGCTGTATTACAGCTCACCAGACGATGCAAGTGTATATGCGTGGAGAGTTCCAGTTTTCTTCTATTTTTTATTTTTTTTTTTCTTTAGTTTCTCTCTCTCTCTCTCTCTCTCTCTCTCTCTCGTTGGTATTGGTATTATAAAAGTATTGTAATAGCTTTCAGTCACGTGTACCATTTTTGGGCAGTGTGTTTTTTGCCAAAAAAACAAAAAGAAAAAAAATGTAGCATTGTGTTGGCTTTTTCTTTGGGATAAACAGCGTTTTAAACAGCTCAACGATTTTGATCATTTTCTACATTTTTGAAGATACTTGATAGACATAGTTCAAGTTACATACGCTTAACGTGAGCCGGAGGTGAAACGTAAAAGAAGCTTTTCCAGCCTCGCATATCCGCTTTCTGCATCGATGATCGCGCGTTGTCTGAAACGGTTGGTTGGTCTTGTTGCCAAAATGAAAAACGAAACGTGGAAACAAGATCTGGCGAAAGACTTCGACGATCGATGGGTGCACGTGGTGTTGCGTGACATTGCAAGTAATAATTTGAGGTGATGACGTCAATGGGTCGTGGAATTTGTTGTCCTGTTAAGAGAAAGAGAAAAGAATAAGAAGAATGGAAGTTGAATGATGCAAGAAAAATTTCTCTTGAACAGATTGATTTGTTACCCGACGATGCATCTTAATCTGCAAAACTTCTGGACACCATCGACGTCGCTCTTCAGATTCTGTTGTCTAACTATTGCCTTGCTGTGCAGGGTTATCAACGCCCCGCTAGTTCTTCTAGTAATTCGTGTGGCCGCTGCTTTCTGTCTCTTTATACATACACATAATTATACTTATATATATATATATATATATATATATATATATATTTATATTTATATATATATATATATATATATATACAAATATCTACATGACTGTTCCCTAATCTGTTTTTGCAGAGATTGATCATCGTATCCTTTCAAGAACAATGGAAAAAAAAGTATATATATTTGTTCCCATAACTTGCTCAAAAAATTGTGCTTCTCAGCGTTGGTCACTCGGTGTTGCTTTCAAGCCGCAAGCATTATTCTCCCCTCGACATTCGTCGTTTGAAGGTCCAAAAAAAAAAAAAAGGAAAAAAGAAAGTAGTGTCATCATTGGTTGAGAAGGAAAGGAGGTAAATTTTGAATTTAGGGAGAAGCTAACGTTGCTAGTTTTATTTTGCCTTTCTCTTGCAACAATCGGGTTCGAGCGAAGAGACTTAGGGGAAATTAGAGACATTTATAAAAAAAAAAAAGAAAGGAGAGAATGTCGATGGGCAGATGACTGAGGATAGGGGATCAATCTCGAATTATGTACTTAAGTGGACTTATCTAACGTGTTATTTCTCCCGAAGCTCGTGGCACAGCCAGGGACACGATGGCCCTGTATTGATAGAAAGGTTTCCGGTTACAGATCCGCGTAGTGAACGCATTTCGGCAGGGCCTAGACGCGCGCTACACGAGCGAGCACAGCAGCACTACATTGGCGGAGGTACTGAGGAAACAATCGTCCTTAAGCAAGCGGCTCTCGCAGACGAGCAGCATCGAATACGCCGACAACAATCCAGACGAGCTGACCATACCCGAGATAGACGTGGAAAGGCTGTCGAGCCACAGTCATACCGAGACCGCCGTTTAGAATGGGAGGAAGAATGACGCGAATTCAGCCAACAACAATCACCGACGGCCGGCGGTTCTTTATTCAAGCTGTGTGTGCTACGTTTGATCTTCTCTGACAATGGTGTAAACACGACGGATCGTAATTCATCCCTCATCCTTGTTTTTTTCTCGTGGCCAGCACGCTCGGAAGAAGGAAACAAACGGAAAAAGAGAAAAGAAGAAGAAGAAAGAAAAAAAAAGAAAAAAAAGAACGAGAACCGTGTGCATCGATCCTCCTAAAACGAGAATGGAAGAAAGAGGATCGTATTCCTAACCTAGTCAAACAAAACAAAACAAAAATATATATATATATATAAAATTAATCGTGCGATGCGAGTTAGGTCCTCGTCATTTTATCTCTCTCTCTCTCTTTCTCTCTCTGTCTGTCTCTGTCTCTCTCTCTCTCTCTCGTTCGTGCTTTGTTATCGATGGTCGGTTATAGCGGAATGGACAATTAAATCGTATGTCAGCCATACTGTGTTCGGTCTGCAAGAAGAGAGCATATTAAAAAATATGAAATAGAAGATATATATATAGAAAAAGAAAAAGAAAAAAAAAAAAAGAAAACAATGACGATGACCTTCTGCCCACGATACGTTGCCCGCGGACACCTCAGTTGATCCGTGCGAAACACCAATTATAAGATACCAAAGTAACGCACCACTGCCTTTCCTCTATTTAGTTGTTACTTACGTTTCCTTCATTTTCTTTCTGGCCTTGTTTCCTCGCTGTCTGTGCGTACGTGTCTCATTCTCTTCGCCGAAGATTCGGTTCCCTTCAGTTTTGTTCGTCTTATCCTCCGTTATCCTCCGTCGTTTCGCCTCTCACCCTCCTCTCATTTAGTATTCTTTGGTACTCTCCTTCTCCCTCTGCCCTCTTCCTATGCTCTTTTCTCCTGTAACAAAATTGCGTCGCATGGAATTGTAGCAGAGGTGGAGAGAACAAGGGAAGAACATGAAAAAAAAAAAACGAACAGAGTTATATTAACGTGAGAGAAAAGAAACTGTTTCCATTATATCATGATACGGGACTCGTTTAAAATCGCATTTTCGTCTACTAAGATAGACACTTTCTTCTTGTTTTGTTACCCTCCATCCTCCTCCCTCCTGCCCCGAGTCTCGTGTCGTTGTCGATCACTTCCGGTTTCTCTCTCTTGACTCTTCTTCACTCTCTTCGACCCTCACATCTGCCACTTTCGTTTCTCACCGACTTTCTTTCGCGCTGGTTTCTTTTCTTTTTCTTTTTACTGCCATCGCTCCCCCTTCTCAACTTCACTTTCTATTTCTATTTCTATTTCTACTTCTATCTCGCACAATATAATGTATACTCACTGCGCTATTTTTCTTCTCGCTTTTTCTTCTCTATATATATGTTTTTTTGTTGTTATTCTGCTGCTGCTGCTGCCTTCTCTCTCTCTCTCTCTCTCTCTCTCTCGCGTGACTTAAAGATGATCTAGTCACTAGTTTGTATTGCTAAATACTTCCGTGAATATACTCAGCACTGGGGGTGCCTTACCAAAAACAAAACAAAAAAAAAACCAAAAAAAAAAACAAAAAACAAAGTTTAAGAAAAAAAGAAAAAATGGAAAAAAATAAAAAAGAATCGCGCATTGTTTTGTAGCCGTACTTCGCGCGTAAAGCGAGTTTTCACGAAGGACAAGGAAGAAAAAGAAAACGGGAGAGAAAAGAACAAAGGAAAGCCGCAAAAGAGAAACGAGGCGAAAGAAAAAGAAAAAGAAAGAGAACCGATTCGTCTCTGCTACGTTCGCGTGATTGGAAACGTGATTGGGGGAGGCTGAGGTAGGGGATTAACGGAGAGAATGTCACGACGAAGATTTAAAAAAAGAAAAAAAAAAAAGGGAAAGGAATCGAGAAAGAGTCGAAAAAAAAAAGAAAAATGGGAAACGAATGCCACGACATTGCCATTATTACGCTTAAATCGATACAAAGATCCTGATAGTAAAGACGTTAATCACGCCACGGTACGAAAACCCGCATGTACGTTTAGTAATAAATATATAGCTACGATTTACCCCTTAAAGAATAAAAAAATGAAAAAAGAAAAAAAAAAGAACATTGAACAGATTTCTTCGACGAGACACCATTTTTTTGTGTTCTCTGCTTGCCGATGAACTTTTATATATATATATACATATATATATATATATATGTGTGTGTGTGTATATATATATATATATACAAAAAACTCGTCTAACCTTACAGTTTTGAAATTCATCGCGAATGTAACACAACACGTGTTATATTACATTTCTTTTTTCTTCTTTTCTTTTTCTACGTTTATATTTTCTTTTTTGTTTTTTTGTTTTTTTTTTTTTTTTGTGTT